TTCTTGGCATTTGTTGTTACTCCTTGTTAATCATGTTGTCCTTGTGTAGCATTTGTTCATGGAGTTTGGTACATGTTACTCTTCGTTTGACTTGTGAGACAATAACTAAGTTTGTTTAAGAAGATAAAAGTGAAAATTGTATGTTTGTAATGTTAGTTTAAGTTATTGTTGTTTATTGTAGCTTTATATTGTTAGACATCATTCAATATTTACTTTATTAAAATTATGGGCTTGCAATGTTAGTTTAGGTTATTATTGAATATTAAAATTAGTTTATTACAATTGCTCAATATTTTGTTATTGTAAGGTTAATTTTATTAATTTGTAATGAGTAGTTTTGAAAAAAATGTCTATAAAAAGACATCGTTGCAAAGATAATAGTACGTGTATATTAATTATAGTTATTTATTCACAAGTTCTTTATTAAATATGTAATTTGTTATATGTTATGTATGTTATATATGTTACATGTGCAAATAAGATTAAGACATAAGGTTAATACAGAGCATATAATTAAAATAAATGCAAAGATGACTACACGCAAATGAGTTGAAGAAACCCTCTTTAAATGACTACTTTAAATAAAAGAGTCATTGCAAATATCTAACAATGTTATAAAAGAACTGTCGCCGTCGTCAAAACGAGGCGGTCAGAGCGACGCAATGGTTCCGACTTTCCGACTTTCGCGTTTTTATTGGTGTGGTTACAACGCCTTTAGGTTGTCCGATAACTGGGCTGAACTTAGAGGCGAGGTTTTCGAAAGGGCGCTCTTGGGTTGTCCGATAACTGGGCTAACCCAAGAGCTAATTTTTGAAGGGTTCATCTGGAGTCGCCACCGATGTTTTTACCGGAAACATCGGAAAAGGAGTGAAAAGACGTTAGTTTTCGAAAAACCAACTTTGGTCATTAGAACCAGAGTTGGGTAAGGGAGTTAGTTACGCGTAAAGGAAGTGTTAGTTCCTTTACGACGCCCCTTTCGGGTTCCCTATGATAGGCCAGCTATTTAAAAATAATTAAACCGGTGAAAATACGTTTTTACCCTTTTATTTGCGGAATTTTAAACTATGACTACATGACCCTAATGTCTATCGCGCAATTTAAAATAAGACAGTAAAAGATAGAGAGAGAAAGTATAAACCTCTGAAGCAAACTTTTCTATTAATTCTTTGAGTACTAGGGTGCTTTTTGGCAGCCCTCCGCTCGTTACAATGCCGAAAACGCTAAAAAACGCTCTAGAAAACTCTCAAAAACTCCGAAAATGCTTCAGAGGGGATCTAGAGAGAGAATTTGAAGAAAAGTCTAGAGAGAAGGAGGAAGAACTGTGTGAAATGAGGGGAATGACGCCCCTATTTATAGGGATTCACGCCTGTCAGGTCGAGACGGGTCGTCTCGTCTGACAAGGTCGAGACGGTCGTCTCACCATTCGGGACGATCGTCTCGCCTTGCAGGAATGACGAGATGGTCGTCTCGCAAACGAGACGGCGGTCTCGCGCATTTGCGCAAGGCGAGACGGCAGTCCCGAATCTGGGACGGCGATCTCGACCTTAAAAGGCGAAAATCCTTATTTTTGTGTCAAAAATCCCTCCTATCCTAGTATGGGGCCTAATAGTCTCTCCTAATGGCTTCTTAGGCTTCATCCATCTTCAAAAAGAAGGTCTTCTGGTCTTTATTGTGAGGCCGGGCAAGATTTGGGGTCTACAAGAACTAGTTAGTCGATAGACAGTTAATGATAATTATTTTAGAATAAAACAATATATTGTCTCATTCACCCTTATAAATGTATGTTTTACTTTAGTTTTACCACAAGGGGAGAGGTAGTTGTTTTAGAAGACAGTGGTACATGTTTATTTGAAGAAGAACAAATAACAATAACAAACATATTTCGAAAGCTTCAAGAAAAAAAAATGAAAAATATTAAACATGTAGTTAACTTTTGTAGGTTTTATATCTTACTTGATTGAGTAGTATTTTATTTTCATCGCATATCTTGCACTGTTCATTTTAGTTTATTAGATGATTTAGAAACATTGAATGATTATAATTAGGGTTATGTTGTGCATGATCTATTAGTTGACAATTTGTGTCGTACTAGTGAAAACTTAAATCAGCAAAAAAAATGCTTCTAAATTATACGTGATTGTGTCATTATCTTACCTCTACCTAATAATATTACAGTTCTTACAAATCATTGATTTATTGGTTGGTACAAAGTTATTGTGATTTATTACATAGTATTTTGTCATAGATTTGGGCAATGGAACATGTGTCTTTGCCAATTAATCCACAATGAAATATTTGTTTTTCGTGGTTTGTTTAATGACTCAAAATAAATATTCAAATGTCAAAAATATAAAGTGCATTCATTTCAAATAATGTAAAAAATGATGTGTACAACATATATTATTTTTTCTTTAACATGTGGAACTATTATATTATATTGCTAATATATAAAGTATTCATTTTGTTAGATTGTGCGAGAAGGTTTGTTATCTTCTTAGAATGCCAACATACCTTCCTCTAATGGTATTTGGCGTGAGTTGCAACAACTCTTGTCTGAGCAGCACACATGGAGATATGAAACATAATATTTTATGAAAAAAAAATTATTCAACTTGAACATGAGGTTAAAATTTTAAAAGGATAAATTGGAAAACAAGTTCATTGAAAATCATTTCTAATGTCACACATTGACATCCTTGCATTTTGACGTTTAACAAGTTCATTGAAAATCATTTTCAAAGTAACATGTTTCTCACTAAATAGTCTCCTGTTATGATGATAATCAATGTTTTATTCTATAATTTTGACATTTTTGTTTACTACACGAAATCCCCTAAACCTAAACACACATTGACTAGTGTAAAACATATTATTTTAGACTTTATATTAAATCCTCCTCTCTTTTCAACTCATATATACTTATTAATTTACTAAGTAATGTTATGTTAATTTTAACATTTCTACCCAATGACATCAATCATTTAAATGGTGTTGATGTCAATACGACCTTTTGCTCTTTTGTTAGAATGTTATTCACCTCAACTAAATACTTTATCCTACAAATATGTCATAAATATACCTGAAAATCATTATAAACAATTATAATTATTACCAACAATATCCAACATTCTACAAATAGATATAATATTCACCTTCTTCAGTGACATTGATTATTGATCTTGAGGAGGTCAAATAATATATTATCAATAAATAATAAATGAATATGAAAAGATAAAAGAATATAAAAGAGTGAAAAGTCAAATTTGGAAATATCCATGTATATTTAATAATTTATTGGGAAACCAAAATCATAAATATTATTGTAAGTTACAAAACTTTAAAAATAATCTTTAAGTTTAGGGGACCAAAATCATAAAAGTTAATGTTAATTACAAAACTTTGAGAGGGTTATGGTCTCCCTCAACTCCCAAGAAGATTCAACACTAACCTTCTTAACATTTGAAGATTTATCATGTATGCTTAGATGTGTTTCCATTTCAAACTGTAAATACATGTAACCCTATTTAATATAAATTCATACTATAGATCCACCACATTCATTACTATATGACATTTGCTTTCATGACCACATTTAGAGTATCATCTAACAATCAATATCATAAACTTATGCCAAAGGAGAGTCAACAACATCTAACAAAAAAATGTCATATATTAGGCTCAATATCCATTAAATTGAAATCATAAATATCAAACATTTCTTACTAACACAACAATACAAAGTCAATGGTATAACATTTCTTTCTAACAGTAAATTCATTCATTCATCTTCAAAATGAACTATTCTATTACACTAATGCTTAACCTAAATTGATAGGAAAGTAACCTTATCCTAAACATAAACCCATCAAAACTAAACCTACCCATCAATCCCAGTGCCCAAAACTAAACCTACTCCGCACAGAAAAAGCAAAACCTAACCCTCAATCCTCAATTTCCAAAACTAAACCACATCCTCAAAGAAATAACGAAACATTAATCTTCAATCAAACAAAACCTAACTCTCAATTGTCAATTACCAAAAATAAACTTACTCCTCAAAGAAATAACGAAACCTTAACCCTTAATCAAACAATACATAACTTTCAATCGAAAACACATGACAAAAGAGAAATTGATATTGAGAAGAAGACGAAAACGACCGAAATGATGATTGAAGGAAGAGATAAACTGAGAGTGAGAGGAAGATGAAAACCAACACAAATGACAAGTGAGGTAGTAGAGAAACTAAAAGATGAGGGAAAATATTATTTTTTAATAGAGTTATCTATTATATGTTTATAAGAAGATTGTCAAAATATCGCTACCCTTACTTACATTTGGCCATGATTATATTTCAATTGCAACATATGCCGATGATCCTCGCCAATAACTAGGGTTACCTTTAAGACTTGCGATAATACCTTGCAAATAACACATATACATAAGACTTATTTAATTTGATTATGATTCTTTATGATATTAAAGTTAATAACATCAAAGATGAGTAATTAATACTAAACATAAATTTTTTATGATGATGTATGATCTCATCGTTGTAGACTTATTTCTTGTAATGTAGATTCATTATGAAATGATATACATAATACATATTGATAATTGATGTAAGAATGTTTTGCATTTGCAATAATATACAAACAAACATAAACATGTTTTTGTTGTGGTTCATTTTATATTGAAAAAGTCATGCAAAATACATCGTCACTGTGAATAACATTTAGCAAAACATGTGTTTGCTAAGCGTTTTTTTTTTCTTGAAAGAATTACGAAAATGCTAGGGTGAACGTATTAATAATAAAAAAAGGAAGATAAGAATGTAAAGTCAATATCAAATCCAGAACTTAAACTTCAAAAGTTTAGTCCGTACCAAGACAAGAGTATAAATTTCAATATGATGATTTTGATTCATGGACTTCAAAGCATATTTTTGGTTATTTATTTTTCATTTACTTATGATTGTCGATCTCTACATACTATTTAAGTTAAGATGATTTGGGTAATGAAGATTGAAGGGGCTTGCTTCGTATTGGGCTTCCCAACGATCTTAAGCCCAAAATTACAATGAAACCTTTTTGTATGCATGAGGTGATCAAAACAAGAGGATCCAAAACCTGATCAGAACTCAATGATTTCATTCTCCAAAATGACACGTTCTTCCTGCACCCCCGCTTCTTCAGCTCATATTTATTTGAAAAATAATAATAACACTTTTATTAGTTTTATAAAAAATACTGATTCTAGAACATTTTGAATGGAAAATTTCGGGGAAATTAGGATGAATAAATTCAAAAATATGATGAAATTTGGGGAATGATTTTATTATTTTGAAAAGATTAATCCAAAAGTTTTCAAAAAGTTAAATTCAAAAATAATTTTTCACATATGATTTAAGTTGTGACTCAATCTTCTGGAAGTTTTCTAAAAAAATTTCATATTGATTTTTCTATTTCTTTTTTTGGAAGAGTTACCTAATTAATATTTTAAAAATCCGATTTCAAAATATTTCTAAAAAACTTTTAAAAAGTGAATTCAAAATATTTTTAAAGACGTCGTTAAAAAATATTAGTAAAATAAATTAAAAATCTATTTATATAAAAAATAATATTTTTTTAGATAAATATAAAATATAAAAAAATATGGAATGAAGGAGAGTCTAGACTCCAAAATTAAAAATAATTATAGATTCAAGTAAAAAAAAAAGAGAAAAAAGTGTGCTTCTTTTAGCGACCAAAAATTGTGTCTGTTCAGAGTTTGCATTTTCATGATCAGTCATCTTTAATATATCCCACTCAATACAGTATATTTTATACACATTAAAATGAGAGTTTATATTAAGTACATAAAGTATAATTTTTTTTGTGTTATTTAAAAATAAGAAAGTAGACTACAAAATAAAATAGTTTTATATGGTTATTATAATAAGAAAAAATCATTTATGATATTTTGTAATTTTTACAATAATTTTTTCGAAAGTCATACCAATAATTTTCAAGTCCACGTATATAAAAAAAATAATTGTCTCACAAATGGATCTCAGTATGATTTTTTTTTCCTCAGCAGAATACTTTGGATTCATCAAAAGATAAAACATAATTTTCAAAAATATAAATAAACATTGGCTTTAATAGATACATATATGAATATTTAATTTATCAAAAAATTTACTTGAATGATTACTGGATGAAAGTATTTAAAAAATAGATAATAATACTAATATTATTATTATTATTAATATTAAGATATAATGGTTTTAATAGTTTTAAAATATTAATTATACAAGTAAAATTATATAATATTTTATTGAAAAAATGTATATATTACTATAAAATATTAATAAATATAGGTAGATTATTATTGGACAAACAACAGAAGAAGAAAAAAATATTTATTTTTTAATGAAAAAAGAGAGAGAGAACTATCTGCTATAAAAATTTACTATTTATAAAAACAATTTTTATAAACATTCTATTAACTGTTTACATTTTTATATCTGTATCACAAAATTCACTTCAAAAAAATTAGAAGCTATAGAGATAATTTTTTCCACTCTGTTCACTGAACATTTTCCTGAGAAATACCAATGAGGGCACAACAACACTGGTGTTGGGTCTGAGACCTGAACATGCTACAACCTAATCAACTGTAGTTTTGCTTTCCTATGCTTTTCTTCCAAGCAGTTGAATTTTGAAGAGTTTTTGCCCCCATTAGTGTTCTAATATTTTCAAATATATATATATATATATATATATATATATATATATATATATATATATAATTTAATATTATCAGTCATGAAGGGAACAAGAAGATGGTAATTAAGGTAGAGTTAAGATGAGAGGTGAGTCAGTACTGCTACTACATAGTTCTTGCATTAATGTCTAGTGGTCCACCACTACTCTTCTAGATGTGACCACCGGAGAAAAGCTATGGCTAGGTTAAAAACTTACTCGATTAAGAGTATTTTCTTAGTTCTATGCAACGTCGTTTTGTGTTGGACGTTCTCTCACGCATGACGCATGCATGCTGCATGATGCATCTTCAAGCAATTTATAAATGGTTACAACTATTTATAAGAGTTTTAAGATTTTACGCAACACAATTGCTTAACCAATTGCATATACATGCTTCTTCATTTCGACGATGATAACACAACTTAACCATGCATTTGAGTCTAAGAATCATAAAACTATTCATCAGTTGTTATTCTTCAAACCAAGTATAAGTCACAGCCCCAGCAAATATCAGAGCTTTAAGGAAACAAGACAAAGCAACTTTGCTTACAATAGCAGAAAGTATGGCATCAACCCATATGATTTCTGTCCCAATTGCATCCTTTCTTGCGTCTTTACTATATCAGATTCGTTCATTAGCCTTGTTTTATGTAATATTCGACAAGATTTAGTGATATACTTCATTCTCACTTAAAAGGCTAAAAAATACTGAGATATGTCAGTAACTACAATTGGTGATTCAGCAGAGTCTAAACAAAAATTTACTACTGATTTTTACCTATATAAAACAGGATTGGTAATTGGCAAAAGGGTTTTAAAAGAACATATGCACACATAATCCAACAATAAAAGTACCCACTGATTCATCTGATAATTTGCAGTGCAGCAGAATTGAGAGGCTATATTTTATAATTGAGAATAAAAGCATGCTTGGAGGAACTAACAATGACAACAAAGACATCCATTATGTGACAAATGTTCCATACTAGTTTTTAATTGGAGCAAGAAATTGAAAACCAACACGTGGGTTCTGTTTGTTTTCGGGCTTTTGAGGTGTGAAGTTTGTTTTTAGGCTGTTGGAGTCTTGCTTCAAGGGTACTTGTTAAGCAAAAATTTCATTTTCAATTATATTAAAATCAGAACAAAAGCAACTTATATCAACTCATTATCTTGGATTTTTCTTCACCAACTTCAACCGTAAATGACCTTCAATTAACAGGTGTCAAAATACCATCTTGCCCTGCTTTTCATATGCATGTAAACTTGTAAACTACCCTCCTATGGAATGTAATCATGTAATGTCATTACACTATCATTGACCCACAAAAGGCTCAAAATTGAGAACCTTTTAATGCCACATTAATCTCAATTGAAATGTATCAAACTTGACCGTAATGTTCGATAAGAAAAAATAACAAATTTTACAGTATTGATCTCAGAAACATTTTCAGAACCTCATCATGTAAGGAGCATTGTTCTTACCCATAGGAGAATATTATAAATAAGTCATGTAAGTCTCAAGTGTATATTCTATTTTTACACTCACATTCCCTTCGTCCAAACACTTAATTATCAAAAGTTTACTCATGCAGAATTAAAAAGATTCTGTTAGTATATTCCTCCCTCGTTAACTGATATTAACAATCTTGTTTCTTCTAGTTCATCTCGAATAACCTAGTTCCACCTGATAAATTATTAATATACATAGAAAAAAATTTCATCTATGCTTCAAACCAGGCCACATTTTAGATGTGTTCATCACAATTTTGAAAGAGTAGTCCCTCACACGATTACATGTTTCCAATCTGACATATGCCTTTTAAAAAGTATTTCTTTCTGATAAGATTCCGTAATTCTTCTCTTTTATTGGTCTTTGTTTATTTCTGTATAGCATGCTATTACCTCATCATCGACCTCATTGTTACATCAATGGCTTTATTAGTGACCAGTGTGCCAGTGCTCACCCTCTTCTCATATCTATGCTAAAATTCAACCCAACCCTTTTTTCCTCCTAGTCTCATGGAAAACATGGATACCTCAAAACTTACACACCAATCTCAAAACCAAAACAAGAATCTTCCTTTGATGCCCATTGAAATAGACAAGTCCTATGAGAAGAGAGTCATGAAGATTCCAAAAGTAGGAAACAAGAGTGAGAAGAAGTTTCTTGGGGTGAGACAAAGACCTTCAGGAAGATGGATTGCTGAGATCAAGGACTCCTCACAAAAACTAAGGCTTTGGTTAGGAACTTTTGACAAAGCAGAAGAAGCTGCCTTGGCTTATGACTGTGCTGCAAGGCTTCTCAGAGGGAGAAATGCCAAAACAAACTTTCCAAACCCTGGAATCATAAACACTCGTGAAGAAGACTGCAGCATTTTGGGTAAGAATCCTAGGACTTACCAACTTCTTAAGCGTGCAGTTATGAAGAACCATGGACTTTCATCATCTCTTTATTCCACATTCATGCCTTGGAAAAACCAGATCATGATGAGAGATGAATTTGACACCCTTGTTGAGGAAACTATCGTTTGTTCCATTCCTGAACAAGGCTCTGGCTGTTCTGGAATTTCATTTGGAAGTTCCAAGGTTTATTCTTCTGTTGTTGTAGCTCCTTCTTTCAGTGCTTCTTCTCACGATGAAACCCCCTAAGCTAGCATATGTCTTATTGCAATTATTGCTTCTTTATGTCTTTCTTGAACCCTATTTTACTTCACAAACCGATATCAAACTCTAGTTATTATCTTCACTACATACATGATATCTGTTTCATACATGCTATCACCAGATGATGATGATGATGATGATATACTCCCCATGTGATCTTTTCATTAGTTATATGGGCTAAACATTTTTACTTTCATTTCTTGAGGTAATGCACTGTATGTATCATAAGATTGGTCATATTTCATATTTACTTTTGGAATAGATGAAGTATTCTTTTCTTGTTTTCAATGTAATACGAAACTTTAATTTCTTGATTATGAACATGATTGGGTATATTTATTATTATTGATAAACATTTCTAAAAGAATAAAAAATAGAAAGGAAAAATAAGATTAGTATTGCAGAAGTATTAGGTTACAAACTTCTAATTATCATATATAGAATAATATAAACAATAGAGTTTTGCCCATTACAAAAGTTGATTGTAGCAAACCATGTCTTCACATATCTTACTTCATACATAATTATTTCAAATCTTTTGTGAGTATGCATTGCTTCACAGGTAGCTTAGCACCAAATATTTGTTAAGTCTAGTATTTGAATTCTTGCTGCAAAAAACCATTCCTGAACAATCTATTTGGAATACATATTTCTGAAGTCTATTTCGTAACTATTTTTATGAAATCTGCTCCCTTTTAGAAAATATTTTCATTTCAAACTATCTATCTAACTGGGCAATTAAAAGCACAATTCCTAGTAATTAAACAATCAAAATAAGAGCTATGAAAGACTATCAAACCTCGTAAAAAAATTAGAAATATTTTCATCTTCTTATAATTTCTATTTTTTTTTCAGTATAATATCTTTGATCATATTTCTATTGGTTATCAAATAACTACATACAAGCGTTAAACTTTCTTGTAAATAACGAAGCATATGCTTGATATTGCGATTCATACAATCTGATTTTTCACAAAGAATATATTTCAAATTTAATACGCAATTAAATCTTTTTTATTATATAGTATATTGTCACATGGGAAATGTATAAATACAAAAATTCTTACATTTTTAATGATATTTTTTATATTGATAGTATTGTATGGCGGTTTATTTTTCATCTTGGTTATGAAGGAAATTTAAAATTTGAATATTTTAAATATTCATATATTTTCAATGTGTGCTTCAAAAATAAATTATGTGTTCAAAAATCCAATACTTTTCTCCTGTTAAAAATTTGTTGCAATTTTATTAAAATAAATTCTATCGTTTATAAACATATAGATAAAACAATTATTTGATGTGTGGTATGGTACAAACAGAAAAGAAAAATATTGAATAAAAAATAAAAATAAATTCATTACCAAAATAGTTTTATGACATGGTATAAAAATCGTTATCTCCCACACATTGAATTTTCAACCTTCTGAAAAATAAAAGTCAAATTATTATCAACCGATTAAAAACGATGAAAACTTTTTTTTTTTTTACAGATAATGGATGTCTTTCATAGTAAATAATTGTATTCAAGCTTAAACCTTTCTAAATAAATATTTAATACTTCTATAATTAAAATATTTATTCAAAATCACTTATTAAATTAAACACAAATGAAATAAATATTTTATTATCAAGGTTAAGAGATCCCAACTTAAGACACCTATGGATATCTGGATTACAATTTAATGGAATGGTTTATCAATTAACCCAAACAATATAGTATAATAGCTATGTTGATAACTAGGGATGACAATTAAACCCGTCTTCGTGGGATCGATCCGTCCCGCCCCGAGTTTGACGGGGAAAACCCGAGTTGATCGGGGCGGGGCGAGGCGGGTTTTTCCCATTTTAATAAGTTGGGGCGGGAATGGGTAATGCAATCTCCACCCCGACCTCGACTCCGTCCCGACTTTATATTTAAATTTAAATTTTAAAATATTAATATTTTAAAAGTATTTTATTTTCTTTTTCTATTACATATAAGTTCATTTTTTTATATTTCATCAATTTTTATTTTTCTTCTACCTATTTTTTATTTTTTTTGTCTTTTTTAATCTTTTATATCAATTAATTTATTACATTATTCTCTCTTTTACCTTTCAGTTTTTCACATTTCCTTAATGTCTCCCATCAATTTGTTTTTTTTTTCAATCTTTTCAATCAATTTGATGAAGACAAAGTTAATTTTTTTATTCTTTATCTTTTTCTAAATATTTTACATAAATCTTAATAGTAACTAATATTATTTTATTTATAATTATATTTATTAGGTTTTATTATGTCATTTTTTTATCTTATTATTCTTATTTATCATATATCAAATTTTATCTTAATAAAATAATTGAATTTTAAAGGATTAAAAGAATTGATAATTTAAACTTTTATTACTTTGAACTAATTGAATAATAATTAACTTATTAAATATTTCCTTATAAATTATATATTTCATATTTTTAAATGACAACTTAAAAATGAATTAACTTATATATATAATCAAATGTTTGAATACAGTATTATAATAATAATGTTATAAGTATTCAAATATTTGAATACAGTATTATAATAATAATAATAATGTTATAAATAAAAAATGATTAAATATTTCTTTTACATACATATTTTAATATAAATATAATAAATTAAAATGTATATTTAATTAATAATAATTATAAATTATAAATATTTATTTATATATAAAAAATAGATAGTAAAATTAATTTATTATAAATGTAATTATATTTTTAAAAATAATATAAATCGGGACGGAGCTGGGACTGGAATGAAGACTTAATTTCTAACCCGGCAGGGATCGGGGCGGGATTGGGAGGCAAAACCCGCCCCGCCCCGCCCCGTTGCCATGATAACATATATTCCACAACCAAATCATTTGTGTAAGTGTATCTGTTTCTGGTGGAAATTTTGGTCGATTTCGATTTCTCAGAGATTTAGGTTCTAACCAAATTTCAACCACGTAGATTCTTTTTACTTAGACTAGCAAACAGTTTCCAATCGAAACATGTATGAACATCGAAAACGTCACAGACATGCACGTATATTAAAAACATGGAAAATATGATAAAACATGCATATCGAAATCGAAAGTACTATTTTTGGTATTTTTTATTAAATTGCAGAGAAATGTAAATGCGGAACCTTAAAACTGCATTAAGTGTAAATGACAAGGAATTGAAATTGCAGAAATGTAAATAGCAGGAAATCGAAATTACAAAAATGTAAATGACGAGAAATTTAAACGCAGAATTTTAACTTGCATAAAGGTAAATGACAAGGAATTTAAAGGATAGAAACTTAAAGTTGATAAACGTAAATTGCATGAAAGTAAATTACCAGGGAAAGTAAAAAAAGCGATGAAGACAATCAATGAAAATTTGAAATCCAGAGCGCTAGAAACTTCATGATGCGTCATTCTCCGGTAGACTTTTCACTTGCGTTTCTGTTGTCTCTGTCAATTTTCTGTTTTCCTTCAAACTTTGCTCTATTTATAGAGTATATTTCAGGTAACCTCCTAAGAGCAGTTAAAAAACTGCTACCACGTTCCATGTGCACGTTCCTCGATTTTTACCTTAGCCTACGGTTTAGAAAACCGCTTTCCATGTTTCATGTGCGTTTTAACCATTCATCGATTTTTAACTTAGCCACGATTTGAAAAGTCACTTCCCATGTTCCATATGCATGATAACCGTTTTTTTCGATCTCGATTCCAGATATCGAGTACTTTGAATTGTTTCTCGATTCCCATTCTCGATTTCCTTCAGCAAATAGCCATCGAATCCTCTTCTTTCCATTCTCGATTCAAATTCTCGATTTTCTTCAGCAAATAATCATCGAATCCTCTTCTTTCCATTCTCGATTTTCTTCGGCAATAGTCATCGAATCTTCTTCTTTCGATTCTCGATTTTAATTCTCAATTTTTGTCTAATACAAGACATTACATTTTTTCTCTCGATTCTCGATTTTCCTATTCATTGAATTCTCGATTGTGGATTCTGATTTTCGATTTTTTCTCACTAACAGTGTCACCACTTGAACTTCTTTATTTCACAAGGTTTACAATTCAAAGATGTGCTAACTGCCATTTCGAAACAAATTACAAATCATTCAAAATTTGGGCCCCAGAAACTATTTTAATTGAAATAGTACTGTTACAGAATATTTTCTTAGCATTCTAAATTGAGGTAATTTTTTGTTTTATTCTATGTTGGTCCTTTTTATTTAGTATAAGGTAGACAACATCGAGATGTTATGCATAATCAAATAACTTGAAATGAAAAATGCTAAAACTATATAAGAGATTGTTGCACGAAATCATTCAAACAAGAAAGATAAAATCTACCTGGTTACTCAAATTTCGTTCTAACCACCCATGTACGATTATTAGTATCCTGGTTGGTCATACCACCGATTCTTGTTTTTTGTATCAATTTTTCTTCGTAACAAATAGCATCACAGCACAAATTCTCGGAGATACGGACGTTGATCCATGGAGAAAACAGTCGAATTTGTTCCATCATGATTAAAGATCTAAACAATAATGATGCTGCGTATACATACAAAGTTACAATCACCACTCTTCAATAATCACTTATTTGAACATTCTGATACTTTCTTTTTGGTTGGTGGACAAGATAAGCATAAGTTAGCCGAATGCATTTCGGTCCAAATGACATTTATTTTTCCTTTTCATGCATGCTTGCTTTGTCTGGATTCCCACTAAACTTCACACAAAAGACATAAATAGAGAAGTTGGTTATAACACTTATTCACATAATGAATCTATTAAAAAGGCTTTCTCAATGTGCATAAGTTACAACTTTTCGTCATTATCACCATTTTATAAACGACAAATGGCCATTGTCATGAAATTTGACATCTTTTGAGGGTCATTTTCTTTGGTAGCCACCATACATCTATAGCACCACTGCAACCCCAAACCCTCTTCTCAAAAATTATATCTTGTTATTTTGACGCTCACAATCATCACCAACTTCGATTTATTGCCCCAGCGTATAGCAGACACGATTTGCAGGAAGTTACACAGTAGTAGTATACAGGCTGGGTACCAGGGATTTGAGTGATTTACATTTAAGTATCGTTATTTTATAGAATAAATAATAAAAGGATGTCAAAAAAACTTTTTATTTTGTCAGAAAGAGTTGAAATCAGATTTTGACATCTACTAGGTGTGTTTACTTCGGCTTAGAGTCTTATATATACGTTTTATACATATAGAAGATGTGAAAAATATAAATTATTCAAAATAATTTCAATTTAAACATAATTATGAATTCGTGTTTAATTTTCATTTTACACAACAATTAAACATACGCTAAGTTGTCGTTGTAAGTACAACTACCTTAATCCTTAATTATAACAATTATCCAATTAAAAAAAAACTAGAGAAATTTTTTTTTTCTAAAATATATAGTATATATGAAAGTAAACTTAATCCCATTCGAGTTGAAGTTAAAACTCATTTGTAATCCACTATGGTTCAATTGTATACATTTTTTAGGTAATTGACTCTTTTCTAACAAAAAGGAGGAGGAATCACAAGCACGCACAAAGTCACTTTTTAATTTTCATATACAGAGCCTTTAATGTTCACTCTGACAACTAGATATTTCCATTATTAATTTTTTTTCTTCAGTAAAAATAGTTGAACTGTAAGACAATATTATCTTAAAAGGCACTTCCTTATATTCATGTTATTGTTACACTTACATAACAAAAAGTTCTTTTTGCCCAACCCTTTTCGAATGGCTACCCTACCCTTTTCGAATGGCTACCCTTTGCCAACACCTACACGTTATTGTTACATTTTTCTAATTGTTAAATAACAAACCCTTTTTCTTTTTACCAAAATAAGTTTATAACTATTATCAACAAAGGTTCAATTTAGATAAAAAAATACTATGAGAAAAAAATTAGAAGGAAATACAAAATGAAATTTTCATTAAGCTAAAACTAACGTATGTTTCTACACCAAAATATTATCATTTTCACATAAAAAACTAATTTGAATGTATAAATTGAAATAACATTTTAGATAAACTCAAGTGCAAAAACATTCACGAATTGGTAATATATAGACAAATTTTAACTAAAATATTATTTTAATTATTTTCTTATTTCCTTTTCTCACAAATATTTATAATAGAAGAACAAATAACCTAAACTTTTGATAATTTTTTTTCTTTCTGGCACTACTTTTATATGATTGAAATGGAACATAACTCCACTACTAAGCATAGGCGAATACAGTGGCCAGCGCAAAGTGGATATGAATATAGAATGTTAATTGTTAAATAGTAGTGAATGAGAAAATTGGTAGGGGAATACGAACAAGTGATGAAATGTCAGAATATCCTTAGATTGATGACGCTTCCCTACATTATTACCCTACTTACTCAATATGTACACACAGTTCCTAGAATCAAAATTTGTGCTGCGCATACTACCCAAATAGCCTTATCCGATTCTGCTTTACTTCGATTTCATTCAACATATATAGAGGAAAATTGATACCAGATTCCCTTAAAAATCAACTAAATGATTCTGTTGCAAGTTGGACTCCCTTCAAGAGTACCTTTTATTGACTTCCACGCAGCAAATACCTATATACAGTACAACTAGGTGAAGTGCAGTGTGCTGCCTACCACTTGGAAACCTACATTCCAAATATACCTTTTCAGGAAAGAAACAATCAGAGACCTTTAGACCACATGGTGAAGAAAATGACGTGTTTAGTGTAAGGCACTCCCTTGAGCTTCTTCCAAAAGCTCCAAGTAATAAAGATACTAACAAATCTCTAAAATAAACGTAGTTACTTCTTCCGTTTTGTTACATGATAATCATGTGAATCAAGAGATCTGTCTCTTCTGATCTGCTGTGTGGCGAGATCATTTAGGAAGATAATGTACAATAATGGCTATTGATCTAAAAATCAACACAGTGACTGATAAAATACATCCCCATGTAAGATAGGTTATGTTGTTGTAATCACATGGATTGATTTTCAAATTAGCTGTCATAAATGCTCATTATTCTCTAAAATGCACCTCTTATTTGGAGCACCTCTAAAATGCTCACATTCCATGAAAAAACCAGTATTTGGAGCATTGGAACAAACCGGGGAGAAGAGTGCATATCCATTTTACGTATCAGATTCAAAAACTCCATCTAATCAAAACAGAAGTTCTTTCAAGAGTGAATAGTGTAGTCATGTCAATTAAATGACTGAGAACAAACTAGGGTCACAGATCACATAAATTATGCTATGGACACTAAGGACTGAATTTTCAGGAGAACATTAAAATTCACCCTTCAATTGTAACCATGTAAAATTATGTATAAACACCACAAGGGAAAATCCAATTACTTCTTCACAAAGACAAAAATGAAAAACATGAGATTAGACATATTAGCCTTGTGAAAAGAAGTTCCTTACAGACGCACAAGAATAACATTAAAACACATAGCTGAAGAATTAAAGGTTGGAAAACATTCTATTGGGGGTAAATAAATGGGTTGGAAAAGGAAAAAAGGAAATAACCTGTGCTTGCAAGGATACTACAATCTCACTAAGAATCTTTTTCATAAACTTCTGGAAGTTCTTGTTGAGGAAAAAAACGAAAAGAAAAATGAAATAATCTTTTTCAAAAACTAAATTTAGTTTATATGTAAATAAAAAATAATCTTTTAAAGAAGTTTAACTTAAAAAAAAAAATTCAAATTAATTAAACTTAAGCTAATTTTAATTTGTGAAGAAAAAATTCCACAGAAGATTTTATCCTACTACATCTATGACTTTGGTTTTGTTTGGAAACACACTATTTCTAAATGATAATTATTACTTAAAATTTTTCTAAAAGACTGTTAGTTCAAAATAAAATTAATCAAACAATACAAGAATTACTTTAGACTAGCTAATCAAAGCACATGGATAGAACAATGAAAAAGATAAATTAGCAGAGTATTCTGCAGAAGTAAGCAGCAGCATCAACAAACAATAATGCATTCTGTTAAATACAGCAAATATCAGATTTATTTTTTTCTCTCCTTACATAGCAAAAAATCAGAACATTGGCTGACAGCTGCAACAACACTATAGGCATTCTCTAGGAAAAACAAGCAAATGAGGCTATAAAAAATCAATTCAAATCACAAAGAAGCATTTAGACTTAATTACTCACTAGGAAGAAACAAAAACACTTTCAAAGAAATGTTGATACAGAGAAATTGTCAAAGCTAGATAACTAACTAACTTTGCGGCATGGAAAAAGAGGTAGCATCTAAAAAAGAGTATTAATATTGAAAAGAAGAAAGAGAAAATGGAAGTGTTGGTAAAGAGAGGCAAAGTGAGCGCTGGATGCAGAGGTTTATCGATCGATTCTTGCTTTGTGTTCTTCCACAACCAAATTCAGGAAGAGATCGATGAACCGCTGCCTCCAGTGACTTCACCTCATCTCCATACACATCGAAAATAAATAATATCCGCCAAAAAAAATCAAAACAACAAACAAACACGGCTTCGTAATTTTTATTTTTGCATTTTTTTTTTCATTCGGTTCAGAAATTGGACGCAGAAAGACGGTAGCTAAAAACAGCAAATACGATCCGTGATGCGGAAAACATAGATCTGAACATAAAGAGAAAGGTGGAGGCAATTTCCCTTCCATCACAATCCACACACATACACGGCGTATTTAGTATTAAAGAAATATATGAAACAAAGCAATAAATAGTATTAAAGAAAAGAAAACAATAGGATGCAGAGAGAAGAGAGAGAAAGAGGAATATATGTGATATGAACCAGGAATCTGTAGAGTCACCATTGCACCATTGCCGCAAGTGTGTGTATCGTTTTCTCTCTCTCTTTCTCTTTGTTTTGAGTCACAGATCCACAGTGACTTTTCAAAGCCCAATCATTCTGCAATTTTTTTTGTTTCTTTTATCGCGGCATCATAATTACTATTCCACCCCTCTATTCCAAACTCAAATTGTGCCCTACTTTTGGTAATTACATCTTTAATTATTTTTATTTAACATTTTTATTTTGATTTTTTTAATTCTAAAAGAGTTTATTTTGGTATTGTAAAATTAAAAAAATATACACAATTTTAATTTTAAAATTAAATTATACAGATTAAGATTATTTTTTTAAAATTATTTAAAAACATTACAATTTAAAGAATTAAAATACTATTTATTCCAAATTTCAGAAAGTATACATTTAATTAAACTTTTTTATTATATATTGATAGATTTTCTATTTTCTAATTTTATTTTAATATAAATTTACATTTATTGTTTTAAGTGAGTAAATATATAAAGAAAAATAGAGTAAACCATTATCATATTAAGAATTAAATATATTGATTAATGAGTAGTTTATTTTTAATAATATAATTAAATTAATTTATTTTAATTATAGTTAATATTTTTGAATTTAATTTTCGAAAAATTATCCATTCTGATTGAAATCTAATATACAAGTAACTATATAGTTTTATTTATGATCTCATTTTTTTATATTATTCACAATTCATAACTTTTAATTTTATTACATAAATTCGTATATTTTTATTTGAAATAAAATTAATATTCGCTGGGATGCTTGGATCTTGGATCAAACTTGTGTGCCGAATGCAATAGCTGTATGCGTGTAAAAAAGTATAAAGGCTTTGGACTATTGGCAGAAATTGGGACAGCAATCCGCCTTTTTTTTTTTTTATATATATATATCTACTAATATTTGTATTTTATTTTAATTTCATAAATTTCAATAAAAATATAAATTTATAAATTTTAATTTTAAATAGTTTTTTAATAATTAATAATTTTATTTTAAAAAGTATTATATACAATTAATTATGTGTAATAATTAATATAATAATAATATCACATTCACCCGTTATCGGATAATTAAAAAAAAAATATATATATATATATATATATATATATATATATATATATGTATTATTCGTTTATCATGATGACAGATAATTTTTGTTTACCTACCGAATAAAAAAAGGATTTTTTTCAAGACTAATTAAATGGGGAAGTATTCACTATTATTGACTTTGAATTAATTTTTAATTAATTATTAAAAAAAATTAATGTTTTAATATTAACAAAATTTTAAAAATAATATAAAAATATAAACAAATTAATTTGTATCTCAAAAGTATTAATTATAACATTATGAAAGATTCACCACTCACTTTGTTGATTAGGCCTATTCTGTATTGATTAAAAATAAAAATATGTATAAAAAAGTATTTGAAATATTATTAACTTAAAAGTGTATTAATTTGGATCACACTCTTCCATGTGAGGGTGAGCGTGAAGGATTAAAGAAAGAGGACAGTTGTGAAAATAGACAAAGGAGCAACAGTTGGATCTTCAGAAAACTAATGCATGCAATGGGTTGGGTATCTCTTTCATCAAATAATTGACCATTTATTTAAGGATTTATTTTGTCTTTAACGATAAAACCTAAAATCCCAACACATTGTCTTCTTTTTCTTTAAAAAACTCTCATAAATCCAACTCCATATATAAACTTATTACAAAATTTAGAAAATTATTTATATAGTTAACATAAATATTAATTTGTTCATTTTTCATTTTTTAAATTGAACTTATCCAAATCGAATTGTATCTCTTTGTGATACTTTCTAAGCTTCTATGCTTTTCCTACGCTCATTATAGTAACCACAAATAAGGTCTATTAAATTGTATATGAAAACTAATTGTACAAACTTTACACTGCCAGAGAAATCAAAGTTAAGCATATAAATAATTTAGTTATGTTATTGTATTTTATTTAAAAAGAAATCAAAGAACATCCATGAAGTGTAAATATTACGAATAAGTTTTACCTACTCCCAAAAGCACAGAACATAAAGCACAGTATCTGATTGAAATAGTGCTAATGTTGTCAGTATTTTCTTATTTCAAAAATTTTCAATAATACTATATAACTAGTATTTTAAGTATTTTTTAAATATATAAATTATAATTAAATTCAAAATAAATAATTATTTTAAAATATAAAAATCATATTTTTACATTATAATAAACAATTTATATTGTAATGTAAGATTATTTATAATTATTGATAATTTTTCAAAAAGAAAGGATATTAAAATTCGATTTAGATATAAGATGTAAATAATGATAAAAGAAGAGTGGTTTCAGATGATACAGAAAAAAGTTTTTTGGACTCTAATGAAATCAATTTTATAAGAATTATATTTTAAAAAATTAAATAAAATAAATATTAAACATATGAAATTAGGATTGAATAATTCTCAAAATAATTTATAAATATACTCGTATGTAAGAATATCTTAAAAAAAAAAAAAAGAGAATCTCTTGTTAAACTCGGTGCTTATTTTTAGTACCACGGTCAACATTTTCCATGGGCCCAACAAATAATTTTTAAAGATAAAAAATATTTATATCACAAATAATAAAAAAATAAATAAAGAATTGATGAAATACAAAAATGAATTGTTATTTGTGAGATTCATTCTATAGATTGAAGTGAAAAGCGGTGTTTAACTTATAAGAAATAATAAGTAATAATAAGTAGCCGTAGTGATCAAGACACGTTAAAATGTGTAATTACTGGTATTTTAAATTAATATTGTATTATAATTATTATGTATTTTTAATTTTTTTTTAAATATGGATTATTTAAAATAAATAAATAAAAGCCACATTATACAATCTAATTCACATGACCGTTAATTGGATTATGTTAGATCAATGGTGGGAAACGTAACCCTAAATTATGTTTATGTCAACTAAACAGACAATTTCTAACCTCAAAATTGATTATAATTGAACCACGTAGAGGCACCGTAGTTTATGAGAGGTGATAAAGGCGACAGCACAAGCAAACAACACGACAAAACTTCAAAGTATTCCATGCAGATCCAGTCAACATCTATGTCTCGAAAGAGATATAAAAGGTTAAAGAAAGAAAATCACACCTCATATTCACATGTAGCTGATGTGGTGTGGCTCAGTTGGAACTTTTAACTGAGATATTATCGAGGCCCTAACGAAAGCCCTACTTTTCACATAAGCCAGTGCACAATGCACAATGCACAATGAAGGAAGACATGCATGCATGTAAAAACCATCTGCAAAAGTAGAAAGTAAACCAGATAAAAAAATAAAAAGGAGTTTTTTCTTCCTTTATCACTTTTCCACGTTTGCTTTCCACTCATTTCACGTTTCCACACCACACTAAGGAACCTAAACGTCTTTCTTATATATTAACCAACCAAAACCAAACCATCACTTCCCTTTATATATATACATGTTCTTACCTCTTCCGTTGATGCTTAGCAGTTAGCAATTAATTTATCATAGCTGGATTAAGATTACTCAAACTTTTCCATCTTAATTATACTAATGCTGATTAACCATGGCAACACCAGCACTGGTTTCAATTGTACAGCCAGAGCAGCAACAAGGTGACCCAGAAGCTGTTCCAAGCACTACTAGTTCTAGTGCATGGAAGTCTTCAGGATCTGTTGGTCCATTTTTTGCTGTGATGTCTGTGCTTGTAATTGTGGCTGTTCTTTCTTGCTATTTGGGTCGGAAGTGGAATCGAAGGCCGAAAACCCCGTTGGAGAGTATCAGAGGGAGAGGGTTTTTTGGGTGGCTCAAGCGCGTGTGTCGGGAACGTATTGGCAATGATGTTGAAGTTGGGGGTGTTGGGGCGAAGGTCATGGTTTGTGATGACCATGACGAAATTGATCATTGTAAGGTCGCAGATGGTGAAGTTGCTCAGCAAAACATAACCCAAGTTTGATGTTAGGTGTGTGGGAAATTGACTATTTGAGCATTATTCATATGTCTGCTATGTTAATTATATAATGTATAGTTTAAGATGTTAGATTAAATAATGAAGATTTTTTTTGTGAGGATAATTTTGGATAATGACTCATACTATAATTACATTTATGCGTTTCTATTATTGAAGACTTTTTAATAAATACAAGAAGGTCTTATTCATTACATAAAAACAATAATTAATGGCTATAAATGCTTGCAACGAAATAGTCCAATAATGTTTTTTCTTTTCTTGTATAGTGTCTTCTCTGTGTCTTGACGGTGATGGCCTGAAACAAGACATAATCATCGCTTTCTAGCAATAAATTACGAAGAAAAAAAGGGGGATGGAATTAAGAATGACAATTTGTTGAACCTACGGATACGTTAGTGATTTGCAAAAGAACATCAATGTTAATATTAATACTAACATTAAGTGTGCAATTGTACATAGTGTACGTTCCAGCAATAATGAACGATGGAGACAAACCTAACTGTTTTTCTTTCTCTTTTAATAATAATAAAAAAAGAGTGTGGAGGATTTTAACTGGAAGAGAGGCTGCATCACATTCACATGGATGATGGTTGGGATGTGAACTCATAAGCCCTGTCACTTTCATTCAATGTATAGTATTCATTATTTTATTCAACCTACAGTGGGAGAAAAAGAAAACTAATTAGCATTTTAACACGAACCTAACACACTTTTCTTAGACACTCAAAAACAGATTTGATTCTAGAAAAGGGAAAGATATAAAAGAAAAAAAAAACAGATATTATAAATGTTAATCAGACTTGTGCCAATTTCTTAGCATAGTCATCTTGCATACAACTCATCATACACAAGACTTCTCAATAAGATCACATGACTACGTAAATGACACAAACTACTTATATAAAACATTTTCTTTTACGCGATTAAAAAAGCAAGGTTTACCTTGACTGACATCAATCATGACCAAAGTTACGACAATACAAAATATTATCATCATTGTGATTAAACAAGTAGTACTGAGAATTATGGAGCCAAAAAGAATCCAAGTGTCCACGACGGTGCCTCAGAGTTTCCACGAAGGCTCACATGATTTAGAATTCATTGACTTACATTTATCAACTTAAATGTATTCTGCTAAAGGCATTCATATTCCCTCTATTTGTCGTTCCCTTGTTGGCATTGCGAATTCTCTGTAACCATCATATTGACATTACTTACGATGTCAAAGCTTCAAGTGCACCAACTGAACCAACTAAGAGAGATATTTGGTCGATTTGACATGGATTCGGATGGGAGTTTAACGATGTTGGAGCTAGCAGCGTTTCTGAGGGCTCTGGGGCTGAAGCCTTCGGGGGACCAAGTCCAAGCCATGTTGGGCAACATGGACACAAACGGAAATGGGAAAGTGGAGTTTGAGGAGTTGGTGAGGGTCATTTTGCCTGACATAAACGCAGAGGTTTTGGTGAACCAGGAACAGCTCCTTGGGGTGTTCAAGTGCTTCGATCGTGACGGCAATGGTTTCATATCGGCGGCGGAATTGGCCGGGGCCATGGCGAAAATGGGGCAGCCTCTCACGTACCGAGAGCTCACGGAGATGATCAGAGAGGCTGACACCGATGGCGATGGCGTTATTAGCTTCATAGAGTTTGCCTCCATCATGGCTCGCTCTGCTTCTGATTTTCTTGGCCTCTCCTTCTGCTGACTCTGTATATTCGTTTCATAAATTTTCTTTAATCCGTCCTTTTCAATTATTTGTAGCTTGTTTTGAATGATTGAAGCAAATAAAGATGCTTGATTTCTTCTGCAATGCTTCACCGTTCTCTGTTCAATTCCGGAACAATGGATCATGAAAGTTTTCTTTTTTAGATGCCGATAAGGAACAACTAATTATAAAAGCGGGTGCAACTAATTAGACATTGTAAAATGGGATTATAAATTCTCACCCAATAAGAAATTAATAAATTTAAAATATCTTTCACTCTTTACTTAGTTTTCTTCTTTTTATTGATTTTTTAAGTTATTTTCTGAAACAACTTATGAAATGTTTTAAACTATTCATCGTAATATAAAGTTGTTTGAAATAATGCTTTTCTGAAATACATTCATAAACAAATAATGTTTTACTGAAATATTTTCGTAAACGATTTGTACTGGAGATAACACATCAGGGTTGTCTTGCTCCAATGTATGGGCACGGATTCCAACCTGTTAAAATATGAATTTGTCACAAGGAGATAACTTTTATAATAAATATAGGTATAAATTAAGATAATATATTTAATAATGTTGAATTATTATTTTTAGTAATATCATTATTATTATTATTTATTCAATATTTATATTTTCATGAACACTATCATTTATCATTATTTAGTTTATAACAAAGTTTTACTTAAATAATTTTTTTTAATTTACCTCTAAATAATTTACATGAATATTTATTTTTGTATATATATATATATTAAGAAAAAAATTACTTTACTAAATTTGCCTCAAGATAATATTTATTATAATTTTTAATATAGATGTAATATAAAGTAGGAATAATATTATTACTCAGTGCGTAGAACAACTAGCACGATATCTTTTCGACCTATCATATATAGTTTCAAGTCTAATGTACCTGGATCAATAGTGCATTTACTCAACCAAATTTGTTTTCTAGGAGAGAGAGATGTGATTTGTGAAAAGTAAATGATTCTTAATATTTCGATCTCAAAATGATTATAATTTAAGATTTTCTTCTTACAGATCAATAGTCTATGTTACTGTTACCTGATTGAAAATTTAAAGGTCCCACTTTCCTCAATAGAAGAAGAAGACAAACCATTCAGCGATGGACATCAGTGTCACAACTTTCCGGCTTATGTTAACATTTGATCTCAATCAGGGTTTGTCCTCCACGCCGAAGGAATAAGTGATACTGCATGATTTGTTTGTTTAGGTACGTAAATTTTTACGTTCAACACTATTATTATTATTATTATCATACGAATTTCTTTCTAGAAAATTCAGTATAGAATACGTGATACGCTGAATTTGACACCCAGTTGTATCAAGAGATTTCTGTAATCATGAAATTCTATTATTTGTTATTATAAAGCCAAATTGCGCGTTTTATAAAGCCAAAAAGATTTCGGAAACCCTATTCAGTCAATGATGGCAGGACCAAGATGCAGAATGTTACGAAGAATGTGTACCATGAAAGAATGAATCAATATATTTTTCTATCTTAGGATAAATCATATATACCTTCGTACATTCTTGTTGACTATAACCTTGTTTCAAATCTCGAAGCAGCCAAATTTTATCATAATCTCAACAAAAAAAAACCAACGAACAGACTGCTTCAATGTGCTTCGTTTAAGGATTCATGTCATGCAGCAAAAGGAAAACGCTCGTTTACCTTAAATATGTACAAGGTTTGTGTAACTTAAGGAAAAATTTACACCAATTTGTTTTTTTTTTAACTAATGAATCAAACAACAACAACAACAACAACAAAATTATGGTTATCTGTCCTCAGTGGTCCCTTCAGGACGTTTGGATGCTTCAAGTCTTCTGGATGTTTCAAAATGATTGGATGCTGTTTCAGATCTTGTGGATGATCCAACTCTTTTGGATGCATTAAAACGTTTGGATGCTTCCAAACGAGCTGTGAATCCAACTGTTGTGCTTCTTATTGATCGCTGCCTTACCACATTGCAGTATTCTGGATCACTTGTTTGCCCGTCCATTCTTATCCACTGAATCATTTGATGATACATGGGGAAGAAGCGCATTTGGATGGACGAGTAGACGAAATATGGAAGGAGGGAAGCAATGAGAATGAGCAAAGTGATGATCCAGAAAGATGGGGATGGTGCGAGAGCTTCAATGAAGACCTTGTAGGCAGTGGTTGAGAAGGAAGGATCTATGGCTCCATAAGCCAGGAGGAATATATACCAGAATGTAATGCTTCCCCAGATGAATAGATGTTGTACATAAGTGAAGTAAGAAATAGATAATGCCATTTGGCAATTCACCACCCACACAGCACAGGTGTACATGGTGGCACCAAGAACTTCCAGCCCCACGACTTCACCACTTTTACGGAATGCCTGATGTTCCATGGCACGGATGCAAAAGAAGAATATGATAGCAGAAGTCACAACTCCATTTAATGCCCAACCGATGATCCGTCTCCAGCTAAATAGGATGTTTTGGATGCCTTCTTGGTATAATAATGGAAACTGTAAAATGAAAGCAAAAAGAAAGGTTTCATGAGAAGACAACAATCATGTAGTTTTTATTTATATGGCTGAGGAAACTGAGTTTGGAGGCCTACCTTGAGACATAATTTGGAAGAGACATCTTGATCAAACACTCCCAATGCAATTACAGGAAGTGAAGTGAAGAATACGTTATATAGTGACATGAACCAATCGTTGTACGCAGCTTGCCCGGAGAATGAGGCATACATCTCAAAGAAGAACAGAGTGAAGCCGAAGGCAAGATTCTTGTAAAAGAAGTAGCAGATCTGTCAAACAAAAGGCCAAGTTTGTCACAACCAAAATAATTATATTAATCTTAGTTGAACTAAGACTTTGCAATAAGGTGGCATATCAGTACAAATGCATGACAAAATAAGAATCTTGTAATATTATGTAAGAAACGTGAAGACAAGACAAGACAAGATTGTTACCATTGATGAGATCCTTCTGTAACACCAATGTCCGTGCACAAGAAGTAAGCGCTCAAGAAACCGGAATTGCGCTATTGCGATATCACTTGACATAACTGCCTGGAAGTTTTAATGCAGCAAAGAAGTAAAAACACAAGAGACAAAACACAAATTCCGGTTGGGCTTAAAGAAAGGTATGGGAAAAAAAGAAATGAAAAAAAAAAAAAATGTAAGGTATTGGAGATTTACCTGCATTCCTTCCACACCACTGATACCAATTCCAATGTCTGCTTCTTGGAGCATTCCAACATCATTTGCTCCATCTCCAATAGCAAGGGTTGTACTACCGGTTCTCGTCTTCACCAGTCTTGTAACCTGCATAATTATAATATAGAAGATATTTTAGAGACTGTGCATGGAAACTACCAAAAGATGAGACTAACATTTTGCCCTCTTAAATATATTTCTTTGCAGTAAAAGTTTCTTTTTGTTGATCATCATAAACTTCAAGAGATTTATTTCAAGTGAAACACCAAAACCAAGCCTAACTATAAGATAATAACTAGAAGACAAACTTGTGCAACCTGAAAATTTATGTATGAAGAAAGAAAGGGATAATGCATAGCTGAATATGTTTTGAAAAAAAGGAAATCTTACAAGTGCTTTCTGCTTGGGAGATGAACGACAGCAGATAACAGATGCACATCCAATTGCAAGTTCAAGAAATAAATCTTTTACATCATCTTCTAGGGCATAAGTAAGAGACTTCCCATCAATGATCAGGGCTAAGGCTTCATAGTTTTCATGTGATGAAGAAAGTAATGCCTTTGCCTCCCTTAATTGACGAATAACACTTGACTTCATTGCCTGAAAAATCAATAAGATTCATCAAATTGGAAGTGAGCCCATCAATACATATTGAACTATATAAACAAGAAAAATCTACCCTCATCCTCCCAATATGACATGAAATGGAGCTGATAAGTTCTATCTAGCTACAGTATATTCAGTTTTGCAAGTCCCTTTCTCGCACATTCTAATTCATAAATATTATACACGGGATCTCCTTGTTGTACTTGTGGAAAATAACAATTAAAGAGCATACAATCATCTCATGACATGCTAAATGGCTACCAGTATTTGTTGACAGAAGTTAAGGATCAGAGTTTTTACCGCTTCAGCAGCAGACTTGTCCTCCATTTTCTCCAATGATTTGTTTTCTGGAGTATCTGAGCTAATTATAATTTGTTTCATTCCTTGTCTGAGTAAACTACAAGCATATCTGCAACCACACAAAAATTTTCAAATCAGTGACATCATATTGCTTGCACACACGATTCCAAAATTTACTGATAATCTATGCACTAACCCTATATTAATTGCTGTCTCCATTTTATCACCAGTTAAAACCCATAGCTTAATCCCAGCCTGTGCTAGCTTGTCAATGCATTCAGGAACCTGCGTAACAGGAACTGATTCATAAGAACACAATATATAGAACTACATAATCAAGTAATTACGATAATATAATAAGGAAAATTTCAAAATATGATGAGTTGAAAAAAAGTGAAAAGGTACTAGCTCTGCCAATTATTAAAGTAATTTCAATCATGTGTAAACACAAAATTGTAGGCGGTTGAACACTACGGCATAAAAAGAGATTTGCTTCCCTCAACTTTCATAAAGTAACACAGTATTTAGAGCATACCCCATCTTGTAGTTTGTCTTCAACTGCAGTAGCACCAAGAAGAATTAAATCCTTCTCAATATTTTGTATTATGTTCTCAACAATCTGCTCCTGGTCTGCACTCACTAAGTTCTTGGCCTCAGTAAACTCTTTATTAAATCGATGGTACTCTTCCTCACTAAGTTCACGATATGCAAGTATCAAGGTCCTCAAACCAGAATCAGCATATTCACTAATGTGCTGCTTTGTCATCTCTTCAAATTCCCTTCCATTCTTTGCAATTCGTTCAAACATAACACTGGTTGTGAAAGCCAGAAAATTAAAGCAATTTAATATTGCAAAACAAATTGAC